ATTTTTCTTGAAATCTGCTAAACGCTAGATTATATATTTTAGAGAACCTGCGTACTATTCACAATTACAAATATTTAATCCAATGTTTATAAAAATCAAAAAATAAATTTTACATTTTTAACTTTCCGTAGGGTACGTTATAGTAATAGCAAAAAATCAAAAATAAACATTTTTATATATCTTTATGTTTCAAAGATTTCTGAACATTTTTCTGAACATTTTCGAGAACATAGATCAACCGATTTGAATGATTCAAAAAACATTTGGCAGATTCAGCGTTTCCGGAGATCCAGTGAAAGAAGTAAAAATAATGCCATTTGACGCCTAAAATGATCATTAGCCATATGCACATCATATCAGGTATTTTATAAGCTATGCCGCCGATTGCTTTAAAACGTTCCAAATTTCAAAACATTTTTTTTAAATCTCTAACAGATTATGAATCTTGTCTCCCACAATGGGAATCGATGTAATACTGAAATTGCGCCTCAGTGAATGACTGAATTGCAATCAGTCACCGTAAATGGGCAACGCATGCGTGAGTAACCTTGATAGTATGCAATCAGATATTGTGCATAATGAATCAACTGCAGGAAAATTGCAATGGACCTTGGAAGTATAACAGATTTACCTAAATTTACAGAAATGAATGGAAATATACAGCCACCCAAAACGGTTCGCTAAGATTTCTGTACAATTTGCAATCAGACAAAGAAAAGTGGCATCCCATGCCAATCAAGTAGATTGATTTTAATCTATCTGAACGCAAATTAATTTCCTATTTCAATTTGATTTTTATTACCCAACACTAATTTCCATTACACATCGGGTTTTCTAATACGAGATAAAAATATTTTTTTAATAAGCTGTTTTTACAATTAGCCGATATATTCTAAATGCGATTATATCCTAAACCTTCAATTACAAATTTGCAATCAGCACTTTAGCTCGTGATAAGTTTTAATATTAGTTATCAAATTCAAATTACCATATTGTTATTCGTTTAAAATTAATATGCCGTCTGTTATGCAAATAATTACCTAAATATTTATATCCAATTTACAATGCATGGCCTAAGCGATTTTGATGCAAATTGTATGCAAAGTACATTTTAATTTTTAGTGGCTAAATTATTTTTTAAAAACCAATAATATTTTAATAATTTGCGATATGCAAAAACAAAAAGTAAATAATCGACAAAATATATAATAAGGCAGCTAAAATAAAACATAGTAGAATTTGTTCTAGCAACAAATAAAACTAAGTATGTACTTAGTTATACTAGTCCATCTTATCTTTCCTTTCCAGAAAACAAAAATAATAAGTCAATTTCCTGGCAAAAACAACATTTTTCGGCAAGTTAAGAACTAGTTTGGTGTCCAAAAATACGCAATTAATAATACATAAGAAGATGTATGACAAATATAAATTAACAGATACCAAAGTGATAAACAAACAGCATTCAAAGTTAATTAAACGAATTGCAGTATATAAAAATAAAAATATTTCTTCGGCAATATTGAATTTCCATATAGTAGAACGTTCATGTTAGAAATGTTTTCAATTGTTCATATTGTGCATAAGCTATTGTCATTTATAAAAACCATAACATCGCTTATTTGAACAATGGCATCGTTTCTAAACAATCGTTATTATATCTGATAGAACATAAAATAATAATCGCTAGATTTATTCTCTACATTTGAATTAACTCTATATATACAATAGTATAGAAACATTGATAAATTATATTATAACAGAATATTGCAAAAGAATAGAAAAATGATCGAAAAAGTTATTCGAACCTAAGTTAGTATTTGCTTTTGAATTTTTAAAATATTTAACGGACTATAGATATTGCATTTTTCTTCTAATTATAAAGAAAATAACCGTAAAAAACTAACGGAAAAAGCTTTCAAATCTTGGAGTAATTAGTAAATCAGTACAGACATCTTTGAAGAAAAATCAGAAAAATACCTTTCTAGAAAAAATTATTACTATTGTCCATCGGGTTGCCATTTTGGCAGCCATTACATAAGCCTGTCCTTTAACTATGTAACGGGATTTAGAAACTATGCTTTCGGAACGATCATGGCCGCTGCAACCATGGTAACGATAATCCTGAGCGTAACTTTGCCGAAACAATTATGGCCGCTGATCGTAAGGAAAAGGACAGCCTTAGGAAAAGGACAACTATGGGTCACGCTTTTACAAATGGCGTGACATGTTTCTATGGTAATAGAAATTAGCAGAGTTTGTTTTATCAAAACAAATATGGCTGTTCACCCGGGTAACGATCTAATTTTTGTTTAAAGAATCAACGATTATCAACCAATAAAAAGTCAAAGATAAGTGCGTTTTAGGCGATACTTGAAATGCTCATATTATTTTCAATCGCATCTTGTGCATTATTATTACTATATTACTTTACGATTAACATGCAATATGATTTTTCCATATAAACTTAAATAATAAACAAGATTATAAAATTAGCTTTATTAATCCGTCAAAAACGACAAATCGCGAAGTATACCAATTTATTGCATACAAGATCTTGTTCGGATCACGTGAGTTATGCAACGCGTTGTATGAGTAACTTGCATGGCAAGTATTATATCACATAAAAACGAATAAAATTTCTAAAGAAAGAACAGTAAAAATATTTATTATATAATGAACTAGATCGGTATGCATATAATTTCTTTGTTTCGAGGCGTTATTGTGTTTTAATTATTATTTTATGTGACAAGAGTATGTTAATTATGAAGGAATCCATGTTGGTGTTATATTATTTCGTTATTTCATGTCAGATTAGTAACCATATTTTTTATTTTTTTATTGATATAGCAATACAGGATAAGAACTATTACTTTTGGAAGCATATTGCTACCTATATTTCCAAGTGAAAATCCTTTTTGACATCAGGTTGCTTTATTTAGACGGATATCAAATCTGATTAAAATCCCATAGCTCTAATCACTTACTCACAGGCAAGCTTGTGTTTATTATAAGTCCAATCTATTTTATGTTGACTCAGATTTTGACCAACATAGCAATTCTTACAAAAATTATTCCTAACATTCAAATTTTCCTTAATATTCTATTTTACCTATTATCATCCCGATTCGAACAACCTGTTGTCAAGCAGTAGTGACAACAGTTTTCACTTAGAAATATAGATAACAATATGATTTTAAAGGAAAATATCCCTGATCTGGCATTGCTGCATCAATAAATAGACGCCCTATTTCAGAAATGGTAATGATTATTTGACAAAGAGATGAGCAACATGTTTGGATTGCCATCTGATGTAGAACCAACTAGTGTTAAATCAAATCGGCCCAACAGCTTATAGGTCTTTTTTGAGTTCTGATTGCTGTTCAAAATAATAATTAATTCATTCCTGAGTTATAATCTCCAAGATTTATGCATTTTATCAAAACCAACCTAACTGATCCACATAATTCAAAGCCAGCATAAAGATATAATTGTATTCTTCCGCTTTGATAATCAACTTACTTACCGTAACAACCAGTAAATTATCAATTAAGGATGCAAAAACTAAAACAGCTTCTATTAATGACTAATCAACCAGTGGAAAAATTTATGCTGTATAATATTATTTAGTATCCTAGATAAGTGTAAATAATGTCGCGGTCAAATAAATACGTTGCAAAATGTTTCGCCAATGAAGTGTTTTAATAAACAAACAATACGCAGATTGTGAGAAACAAATGATACATGAGATATTAAAATGTTTGTGCTAATATCTATTGTTGTGAAACATGTTTGTGATATATTGTGTTTACATTGTTAAAACAAAATAAAAAAAGTTCAATGCCCACATTTAGCAGAACTTTCGAAACAATGTTTGAAAACCCTGAACTAAAGACCTTTGCTCTATAGAGACTTGGATAAAAACACCCTTAAAAATAAGACAGTAAGGAGCATGTGTAAAAATTAGTTAAATGTTAAAAGCTCAGCATGAATTTTAATAAATAACTTCTAACATAGTGACGGGAATAGCTCAGTCAGTAGCCTGCCCGACTCACACGCCAACAATCCTCTGATCAATACTGAGGCAATAACACAAAATTTTTGAAATGTTGAGTTGAGTTGAAATTGCATAAAAGTAGAAGTAAGAAATAGAATTTGAAAGTAGTTATTTTAAAATTAAATAGAATTTAAACTACTGAGTTCAATTTGATTAAAATTAAAAGTAAGAAGAAAAGCAAGATTAGAATTTGTGGAGATCAGATTTAGAAAAGAAGAATGAAGCATCGGTTGTAAAGTTTAAACAAAAGAAAATTGTGGATAGAACAGGATATATTCAAAAATAGTATAAAACACATAGAATTATGTATATGAGAGAACATATATAAAGATAGTATAGAATATAAAAATATATATGTTGTAGGTGACTAAGTGCTCTAGGTGAGTGAGGACAATGAAAAAGAAATTAGACCTAAATTTTCAAGCCCGTTCAAAATGTTCACGAGAGAGTGAAACTTGGAACCTTGTATTGCGAGACAAAAGCTCTTACCAAAAATGCACGGGCAAGCTTAAGTAAATAAAATAGAAAGTGTTTTTTTTAAGTATCGTATAAAACCAATACCAAGTTCGGTAATTAATGTGTATCAAGTAGAACAATATTACCTGCGCGAAATATCATTACTACTAAACGTTATCATTTATCTGAAATGTTATCTCATTTTATACTACGAGCTACAGGTTGAACTTCTGATAAGGTACTTGGAATGGAACATACCTTACTCACTATATCTGCTCTACATGACTAACAGAATACTATATCAAAAGACAAAGGTATATTTAAAACACCAAAATTACCATTGTGTAGTAATAATATTTTATGTCAAGTGTAAAAAAATGTTTGGCGATGCAAAATGATTAACAAGAATTCAAAGTGACATCAATGCTAAGAATTAATTTAGGTTAAGCGCGAGGAATTGTTTAAATACAATCCGATGTTGAATTGTAAAATGGACAGAAAAAGTAACTATGTGTTTAGAAGTGTTGTGTGTTATTTTTGTAATGAACAGTTTCCAGAAGAACAATTACAGGTAAAACAGATAGTTGACATTTATTTTCTGAAAAATCTCGATGAGGACTTACCTCAGAAGAAAATAGAAATAACTTTATTATTTATATTAATCTTTATTATTTTTGCTTTATTATCTGAAAATGATAAATTTGAAAGTTCAAAATTATATATTAACCTAATACTTTAATGCCAATTAGCTATGTATAGTTTATTTTTTCAATGCCTTAAGAAAACGTAAAGAATTAAAATATAATGTTATTTAGACATACATACATGCTGGAAACCTCACATATGTTCAAATGCATATAAAAATATTATTATACTAAGAAAATTTTTGTTGATTTTATTCTAAGTATGCCAATATATATATATATATATATATATATATATATAATTAGAACGATATTTTTATCATTAATATGAAATGAGTCAACTTTTATCTAGTTAATTTGTTGATACCGGAGAGCTTCCCATAATGAAGCAATTTGTGATGATATAATCAAAAATATTTGGCACTTGAAGAATTCAGATATTCAGATATAAAGATATTATATAATGTATAAGTTTGTATATTAACGAAAATATATTTGATACATGTTTTCAAATCGTGGTCTATTGGTAACAACTACTATATTCATAGCGCCGTCTATTATTTAAAGTTTAATTTTTTATATATTCATCCGCATAAAAGCTCTACAATGTATTATAAAGACAATATCTTTCCTTCTATTTTTGTCAATTTGATGTTTTTTGCATTTTTTATACTTATTTGTATAGCAATCAGAATTTTTCTAACTGTTTTATTCAAAATTGTAATGTATCTTATACTGCCTAGCAAGTCAATCTAGTGGTTGTTCATTCTCTTCGTGATAAAATATTTCACTTTAGATACTTGTAAAGTCATATCATATAATATATATCAAAATCTCAAATTTGGATAGAAACATATAATATGCCTAAAAAACAAATTTGGGCATATCTTTTCCAGTGTAACGACTGCTTGATATCAGATATAAATCTCATATATTTCCATTTTTATATTTTATTAATATTACTTTTATATAACCCAGGATCACGTAAAGCAATGCAGCCTGGTGTTGGAGCCATGCGAGCGCGGTTGCGCCGCCTGGCTCCAACGACGACACCTGGAGCTGCACGCGGCGGAATGTCCAAGGAAAAAGAAAAATTCTACCTCTTCCCTACAACAGAACACACACATATCTGGACCATCTGGAGATGACGATTATACCGAATATGCCCCTACCTTGGTCTTATTACAACAATCTGTTTCTTCATTAAGGTAAGAAATGGTAATAGAAATATGTATAAAATTTAGAGGTAACATATCTTAATAAATTACTGCAACAATTACTTGTTAGTAATTTATATCATAACAATTTTCATCATGCTTGAAATAGGGTAAAAATTCTTTAACCTAATTTTTAAATCACATTTTTTAAATATATAACTGTAAAATACAAACGTTTTTAAAAAAACTCATAAAAGATATTTTATAAAAGGTGCATTACAATGCATTTGCAGACGCTCATTCATTCGCAAACATAATTTGAATAAATATTAATTATGTTTATTGTTCAAATATTATTCTTTGCGAATCACATACTCGAATGTTCATTCACCTCATTCATATATTCACAAAAGAAAATTATTTACTAAAGTGATAGCAGATCTAAATTATTGCCAAAATAAATTTTTCAAATATCCGTTCATTATGGAATAGTTAAGACATTGATAGAATTATGTGTTGATTAAAAATAGTTTTCGAGTGATAATTTCAGCGTTGCAAACGGATGTATAATATTTACTTATTTGTCTATATTGATATTTGGATGTATTTTCAAATATTTGGAATTCAAAATTTGCAAACGCATTGATTTGTATTTGCAATGTTTCAAATTTTGTCGATGAAGATAATTTTTGATCCAAAAAATTATGAAGATAGTAGATAATTTCCATTTAAGAAGATAGTTAAGTCATTCATCTAGGCGAATAAAATATTAAATTTCAATCAAGTTATTAGCATACTAATTATACCAAGTGCTATTGTAATAATAATATTACCAAAATGAATACAATTTTCGTTCAGACCTATAAAATTTTTCAAAATTGAGGGGATATTCTAAAATTAAACCGATTGCTCTTGATTAGAATACTAAATATCTATTCAGCAAAATAAATTTTCATTTTTTTTTCATCTATATAATTATAGATCGGCCTTCAATGAAGAGCTAAGACAACGATTGAAAATGATAACAGATCTGGGTCAACTCCAAAAACGGTTCCAACAATCCGAAAGTTGGAGTACTGACGTTCAAGGAGTTTTAGATACTTTAAGAAGGAGTCTGGACAGGATCGTCCATGATAATGAATCAGCCAGAGTACACAATCACACAAATGTCGAAAAAATTGCCATGAGATGCCAGGTAATATAAAAATTTTGGTTGATAAATATTATAAGTTTTAGTATGCCTTGATATAATATTTATCAAATTATTTTTCCTTTATAGTTATTCGAAGAGTGGAAAATGGAAGTTGATATGAGATTAGATGGATTAAGAAATATGATACTAGATGAAGAAAACCAAAGAAACCAAGTCGAGGTCGTATTAAACGGACAGGATAAAAAACTTCGCAGAGTAAATGAGTTAGGTAAAGTATATTTCTGTATGAGTTTCATACCAATCAAAGTAATGACCATTTTTCTAATAAACTATAGAAGGAAATTACAGAAGTACTTATTTCTTTATCATATAATTTATCTAAAACATAATGTCTTATAAAACCCGCTTCATTATTTTTATTTCTATTACTATATAATTTCCATTTTTCAGCAGAACAAGACATGGATCTCATACGACAATCAGTAATACAATTACAAAAAGATGCCCAAAAAACGAGACGAGAAGTGGCTTCCAACTTTTATGAAGATCATACGAAAACGGCAGACGAGTTGGACAAACAAAAAGCTCGAATAGCTTCTTTTTTATACGAATTGAAATCTATGAAAAGCACAGTTCAAGATAATACAGATATTTTGGATAAATTAAGTCGGCAATTGGTTAAACAAGAGAGATTGGTGGCGCAATTGTCACAACAGATAAAAGATGCAGAAGATGCAAGGGCCTTCCATAAGGCTTTGAGTGAACCGGTTAATGGAACGGGTGAGATGGTTAGCTTTTATAATATTAATATTTTATTAAGGACATTTTTCATAAATAAACCACTTTTCTTGATATAATATTTTCAGTAGTCTTTCAAGACCATAAACTCTATCAAACATACTGAGTTTCATCAAAGTCGCCTATTTTTACCAAAATTAATTACGACGAACAGCACAGCCCAACTTTACCAAAAAACTGATCAGCGCTATTCCCAACTATTTATTTTTCGAAGTTTTTAAATTTTCAAAGCCAGTTTTTTTAAATTTCAAAACCAGTTCCGGTTTATTGCAAAAAATTAAGTAAAGAAATTGCACTTCCCTGCTAATTCTATAGAAACGGCTCGGCTTCAACCAGATTTCTTGGAACCAAGCACATCAATATAAATTTTCTTAGAAAATATAAAAAAGAAACTTTTCATTTTGCCAATTTTCTAAGTATGTATAAAAGTTGTTAGAATTGTTAGAAAGCTCGCGTAAAAATGTTATATAAAAATGTATTTAAAATTTTTACTAGTAAAAATATGTTCAAAATAAAATTTATACTATAAACACTGACCTTGTCCCGGATGCATCCATCTGCATTTCATAATGTTGCTTCGAAATGTAATGTTCATTTTCCATCTTTTTAAACGAAACCACTGAAAAAATAAAAAAATACAATCATACTTTGAAAACTTTGTGAAATCTTACTTTCGCATTTCACATTCAAAAGAAGTATATTTATCATATAGCTTAAGCTATAAATATATATAATAAATCTAATTAGATTTATTAACTTGAAACCAAATAGATAAATATAATTTAAAGTCCTTTTAATTTTTTGAGAAATTCCAACACAATATTAAATAATTTTGCATGTTCCATCTAATTATAAATTATACGCCACAAACATTATGGAAATCTTCGCCCTACGTAAGCATATTATTTTTATTACGTCCAATCAGCTAGTTAATTCTCATATATATTTACAACAAACAGGAAAATGCTATGTCTGCTATCTGGACAAAACATCAATTATATAATAATAATCATCATATAATCAAATGTACTAGACAGAACATATAATTTGTAAAGAAGTTAACATGACTTATGTCAATAAAATAACTTATGAGAATTAATCACATTAATCTTATGTATCACAAGCATCAGCATGACATCGATTAAAGTGTATAAAGATAAACCGGTAATTTAATCCAAATTATCAATTTTTTCCGCATTCAACATATAAGAATTTATATATATAAATATATATATATATATATATATATATATATATATATATGTGTGTGTGTATATTATAAAACAAACTTTTCTAAATTTCGAGAAATCACATGCTACCCTTTTAATATTTTAACAGAATTGTTAGAGTTTTATAACCATCGATTTTTTTCTGATGGTAATTTTGTTTTTCTCAGTTCATTATTATATTAATGTTTAAGGAATTACAAAATATTGTCATTATTATATTAATTATTTATATTATAATATTGTATAGGGCACATGGTATGGAGAATTGAGAATTACAAAGAAAAGTTAACAGATGCAAAAGCTAATAAAACAATATTGAGCAGTCCTACATTTTGCAGTACAAAATTTGGATATGTTCTAAGAGTATGTATTTTTTTATATTTTAAATTAATTATTAATTGTAAATTAATATAATATCATAAATATATAAATGAAAAATCTGATTCCTATTATGAAGTTCTATATATTAACAATTTTTATTTAAATCTGTTAAATAAATATAAAACTGCAAACTTTGAATGCGATTCTACGAATTCAATTAAGTTGAAAACTGAAGCCAAGAATAAAATTACATAAAGGTTTTGGCTTTGGTTTTTTAAAACATTGACGACAGAATTTTCAGTTAGTAGACGAACAGATAATTCATCAAGCAAATCTAATCAACGCAATTTTATTAAACAGTTTACATTTTTGAAATTGTTGAGATAGTTTTACATTGACAAAAGCCAAAATTTGAGTCTCCATACTGCGTCCAAAATTTGTGTCGAATGATAAAAATGACTTGAATCATCGAAAACACTAAATTCACGAAATGACATGCTAAAAGCTCAAATTGTCATTAATAATTCCATTTTTCTAGATGGAGTTACACATTAACGGTAACGGCAAATGGCGAGGAAGACACATGACATGCGGCTTACAAGTCTTACCTGGCCCTTGGGATTCGATACTACCTTGGCCTTGCGTTCTACCGGTTGAAGTCACTTTACGAAATCAATCAAAAAATCCTGAGGTAAATTAACCACATTTCAACTCCACTAATGGGAAAATAAAAAATATTATTTTTAGGTGAAAAATGTAACAAAAACGTTGATGGCGAAGAGATCAGAACCTTCAAACACTACAGAAGCAGCTAATCAACTAGTTTTCTTTCCGCACGAAATGGTAAAACAAGAAGGCTATGTGGTGAACGATGTAATGTTTCTAGAAGTTCGAGTTAGGAAACAAAAACGAGATTTGAAATAGCAATTTGTTGTCAATCGTTATTTTTCATTAGTCTCTCTTATCCGATATAAATATAAACTTGCAAACGTAGATTAGAGATTTTGTAAATATAATGTTAAATATAAGAATTTTTTCGAATAAATAATATTCAAAAGCTCAAATAAACTTTTATTTTGGGTTAACGAAGTCAATGAACTGTTCCAAATTACAAAATTAAAATTCGGTAAATGTACGCCCGTATCATGATTTTAAGGAACGATAAGAGTATCAGTAAATGATCTGTTTATATAAAAGCAACAATCAAATTCTGGCCAACATTAGTTTAAGCTGACTAAACAAAAAAATAAGTTGCTTAGTGAATTTCGTTTGTAACTGTAATCGAAATATATAATATAGTAAGTATTACTATCTGTACAAATAGTGAAATACATCATGGGTAAAAATTCATTAAAAAACTTCGCTGTAGTATCAGCTAATAATAGTGATCATTTTTATTTTATTTATTTGTATTTACAAAAAACAATTGAATAACTAAACATAAATATCCTGAAAAAAACATAACTAAAATAAAAAGAATAAAACAGAAAACTTTGTTTAATAAATTTATTTTATGTATATACATTTATTTATTATTTAACCTGAAATTCTAAAAGTGCTTAGATTACTCTTATTTTATGTGCTTCTCAATAAGCATATAGTTAAAAAAAACTTAAACTTACTTCATGTTGTTATTTGAGGTTGAACTATCTCAGCGTGAATCTTTGGTATTCATAGATATTTCATTATTAATTAAAAATTTATATCCATATTTCCTTTTAGCCTGCAACTTACCAAAATGCCAACCATTCGCTTCTTCGTTGTTCTATCATTAGCAGTAGCTTGCCTCCACCTCTGTCTCGCAGATGATTTAACCAATTTCTTCCTGAAGGCTTCAAAGAGTGTTCCCAGAATTGGTAGAAGATCAGAGAATGATTTGCTGGAACAACTGACTGATTTGCTGCAGATCGAAAACAGTCCAGGAATTTCTAGACGAGGGGTAGGTATAATAGACCACAATTCTTAAAGTTAGATAGAGCTAATTTGTGAAGAGATAATACTAGTTGTAAAGAAATTTCTGCAAATTATTAATCGGCTTAAAAATCCTCTTTATGTTATAATTTGAAAATCAATCTTAAATCATAATTATTATTATTATTTTTAAATGAAGAAAGCAACTTATTTCCATGTATTACAATAATAATTGTGCATATAAAACATATTTCTCTAACCAAAAATTAGCTCATATCTACTAGCTATCTTTTTAGTTCTGAAATTGCTTGATTCCTCAGAAATCCAATACACCATACTACTACTGAATGAATATGTGTGACTGATATTGAGTTTCAGAGTTAGTTTTGATTTAATTTTAATGATAGCATTGAATTTGTTAATATTTAAAATAACAAAGTCATGATTCGAATTTTAAGCACGAGAAGCATAAAAATCCTCTACGAAAAATCTTTAAGTGCATTAAATTCCATTTAAAAGCTTTAATCCTTTCTTCTACCAATTGATATCAATATTCATTTTGTTCCTCTCGTATAAAATAATCTTTTTCCTTCTTCCTTAATTATTCCTGGGTATTAATCACATGCAATGAAGCTAAAACTTGCACAAGCACTATTTTTGATTCTAAGTTCATCTACTCCTTAGTTATACAAGTCTATTAAAATATAAATATTATTTACACATATTATATATTTAATCAGTTAAGAATAAATAATAAAAAATTATCTACTTACCTTTATTAATTGTAAGCTACACAAGGTGCACGAGTTATATTACCAAACCCCAAAATATATGGTATTAAACACAACTAAGAATTACTAAGAACGTGAGTTTACATTTACTTTTGGTGGTGCATAAAAAATTATTTGAAATTTTAACATTTATAGACAACGGAATGAGATTTCATGAGCAATTCGTTAAAGTTATTTCACACTAATACATATTTTGAATGAAAACCTTGAATATGTAAGTAACTATTGCAAATCAAGTTCTTCATACAAATTTTGAACTAGTAAGAAATGATTGAAACAAATTGATGACATACTGTTTCATTTTATGTAAAATCAATAACCATTTATTAAAAATACACATTTTAATATTAAATACTTGACAAGATATAAACTCGTAAGATCAAACTACACAAGTAATTTTAATTTAGATAAAAATATCTATTTAAAATCTGAGAGTGTCACTTACAAGCACCCGAACCCAAAGAATATATTGCGTTGAGACGTGTTCATCACTAGATCGGTTATTAATTAATTATTGGTTCAGGAATTAATACAAAAACAAACTTTTAATCTACATAGTTTAATACAATACTAGGATACATATTTCTAAAGAAGTCTATATAAAGATCAACACAAAGATGAAATACTTTATTTTACGCAAGTCATGCAGAAAAGATATACTTTATTATCTGCTATCTTACTTAGTACATATAGTGAATTTAAGAGTTAATTTACATGCAATATCAAATGATGTTTGTGATACAAATCGAAAATTAATAATAACCATGCTTCTATAGCTTTTTCCATTCTGAGCTTATTTCTACAAGTTACTGCACACAGTAACATCTGTTAATCAATAGAATGAAAATTAAGATGTACAAAACAGAAAAAGCCAGTCGTTATTAAGAATCAGTTCAAAAGAAACAATATTGTATATTTTGGTTTCAATTTTTGATTTTGCATAATACATTTGTTTATAATTATCCATAATAATAATAATTATAATAATATATTTTATATTATTATATAATTAAATATAAAAATAGGGAAACCTTTAAAGATTAACAGTTTATTGCTTTTCAGATAGATTTCTTTAATAATTCATTTATGAAGATGAATCAACCATTTACAAGTATTGTCAATGTCAGATGTGACGAGATGGTTTACATGCATTGCTCTAGATAAACAAATTAACAGAGATAAAACCAAGCTCATCCATAACACATTTGCTATGAATATAATAATTGCAAGTTATTATCTCGTCGACTTGTATAAATTTGTCATCAAGAGCATATCATGTGTGAAATCCATAACTCACGTCTGAACATATTAGAACCGGGCAGCTAATGTATTAAGTATATTCTTTGAAAATGGTAAATCTGGCAGAATACACCACCTTTCATATAATATTGTGTTCTTTTTACCTCAAAAAGAGCGTGTACGTAGGAATTATTATAAGATATATCTAGCTTTGTTAATACCAATCAGTGCTGCAGATTGAAAATTCAGCATCTACTTGCTAAAGATTTTATAGCTAATAGTAAAACCACATGTGTTCTCTCTACTTATAATAAAAAACACGAAGTATAAATTGCTAAACGAAAATTAAAAATGGCGTTTGAGGTTATACATGAACGCGATGGGCTTTTGCGCAAAATATATGGAAGTATGAGGTTTCAAGTTAATAAATTTAATAAAGGAAGATAATTATAATATTACTTACAGTTATTTGATAGATATTATGTTAGAAAAACTACACTTTATGTCCATTTATCTATGAATTAAACTCCCCTGATCAAACAAACTAGAATTACTTTCTGACAATAAAAACCACTGTGAACTTACTTTCGAGTTTGACGTGACTTGTGGAGCCATCTCTATTCGCCCCGTGAACTAATTTGACCGGTTTATTTGAATGAACAAATATGAAACTACAGTGTTACTTTCACTTGAATATTTGTGATAATCAAAAACTAAAAGCTAGTTACTGGATTATGTTAATAATTAAGGATTCTAAGCATTTCTACATGTGGTTTTACTAAGCGCAGCATCTGATTTACATATTGATATGCTAGTTTTAGTAATAAACACAAAGACAATTAAATCTACCTTCTATCTCTACAATAACATCCTTATTGTGGTGTTTCGATTAATCAATTAAACATTAAAAATGGCAATGTTAAATAGACATAAATCTGCAAGCCAAATACTAATTTTCGCTTGTAATATAGATTCTATCCATGATCGACTATAGTTATATACCTACATGAAATTTATCGAAGAAATAATAGTTGCAACTGCTATTTGCAATTATAATCAGCATAATTACCCAAACCAATATAAATTATTGCATGTGCTATTAATCAAACTGTTAAAACTCGATGTAAGCCTTTTGTTGAAAAAACTTAATAATTAGAAACTCTTTAGTATTTAGCAAACGAATTTATGTATAAATAACATCGAGCTACTTGATTGTAAAAATCAAACAAATATATAAAGCTTAAAATAGAACCACTGATCTACTCTAAATTCTGTTACTTTCGTGTGACACAAAAAATCATCAAAAGAAGAACACCGAGTGCATAATAAACTAGTGTTAATTGTTTACTTAGCTCAAATGGAGCTCATGAAGGTACAATAATTTTTGTAAGAGATAGAAAACATTAATTTATAAAAAACTATTTCAGTTGTAATTATATTACTCTATTGCAGGTTTTATTTTTAATTATCATTTTTGTTTTCCATCTCTTGGTCTAAAGATACTGCTGTTTACCCATTCTCAAAGATATTAATACTAAGATATATATAAAGAAAAACTTGCAAATGGGGTGATTGAAGCGAAATACATGTACTCTATATAAACATGTTCATCCCAAAAAATAAAAGCTGCCGCGGTTCGAAATAAAATATTCAACACATCCTCTATGTATGCTGATCTAGTTCAAACGTGTATTAGATTCAAGTGTGAATGCCCAATTCTGCTGCTGATGGGTTAATGATGATAGACTTTGATTAAAGATATTATTTACAATAAGTATAAATATGTATACTTTGAATATTATCCAGTTGTTCTTACTGATTTGAGACTTCGTGCATATTCCAAACATTACTTGAATAGTTTGTGACAAAGAATAAAATAAGCGTTTGAACTGTCTGCATTATTAATCTAACAACACTAATATTTTATAAGATCTAGCTACATTAAATATTAGATAAATTAAATGTTAATGTTGTTGCAAATTATTAAATATATAGTATTATTTAGTTTCTTAAGTATCCTCACACACACAGATAACTGTATATGTCGCTCGGTCTCCAACAGAGAATGATTAAGACTAATGAATTGCAACTAATTGCAAAAAATTGCTATAATCTACTGTTACATTCATTATTATAGATAGCAATACAATCTTGTGTGAATGTATTTTCTAATTTTGTATCAACAGGCCTGGAAAATGCAGATAGAGAATTAGAAAATGCATTGAAAAGTTAAGCAGGAAAATCTGATTTTGAATACAAAATCCATAAAACGCTACCTTATGAAGTCATTTTCATAATGTGAATAACGGATATCTCAACCAGGCCTGCTTGTATTTTTCAGATATCTTATAACAATATTGTTATATAAAATATTAATTTATCTCGCTTTATAATCAGTTTTTTGTATTACAGTGTTAGTACACTAAAATGTATAGTTCTAACAGTGAATGTAAAACTACATAGCAAAATGAAAAATAATATAGAAACATTATATTATAATCTACATACTAATTTTACATGTAATATTTTAAATATGTATACATTCTATATATTTATATACCTACAAAATAGTTACCATTAAAACTAGACTGCTAATAAAAAATAAATACTATTTAAAACTAATTGACATAGTGGATTCATTTCCCAACAAGACAGATGTGTGATTAAAGACAGGTGGTAAAAGTGCAGAAAATAAACTAAACCAAGAAAATAAATTTAATAAAGATTATGAACAGAAAATTAGAAGGCTCACTTGGTTCACTCCTAGAATCCTGTTATGAGAGTGATATTTTGAGTGATGAATGGCTACAACGAAATAAATTATTGAGAGCATAACAAAAGCTTTAAATGATGTAATATATAGATTGTTGTAATGGTGTACAAGCAACCCTCCGATAATGCGGAACTCCTATAACGCGGTGTTCGTTCAACAGCCCATGAATTCCTTTCGCGCAACATATGAAGGACTCTAGTAGCAAATATTGTTGTAAAAGGTTTTAATACAGCTTTTTTTATCAAATATTTCATATTTTACAATATGTTTATTTAAACATCAGTTTAAGTAGTGTTAGAGCTCTTTCATAAAACGTTAGATTAAAAAAATCTGGTTGAAAAATAGTTTTATGGTTAAGCTTTTGTTTTATTTTTTATCATATCTTTAAACAAGCTCTTCAATTTAATAAGAAAAATCTCTTGCGATTACTATAACTTACCCTATGGAAAGTTAAAAAAAAAATGTTTATCATATCTTCATATGAACCCTCCGTAAAAACAAAATCTTATTTAACGTGTCTTCTGTATTCATTGGTCTTCTTATATCGCTGTACAAATACTGTAAACTGTATGAATTCTAGACTTTTTTATATCGCGGTTCCCATATTACGCGTTCCTTCGTAATACAAATTACCTTAGATTGTACTGATCCGAGTTTCATATAGCACGGTTTGTATAGTGCACGGTAAGCAATCGCCGCGTTATCAGAGGGTTGCGTAATTTGCTTTCAGATTACGCTCCTGTCGTAGCTGGCACTATCTAAAAAATGATCAACTGCATTCTCAGTACTTCGATACATTAATTCAAAATGTAGCTGATCATCGCAATAAGGTGATTAAAAAGTTTAAAATATCTCTATGAAATTTTCATAAATAGTTTTATTGAGTTCTTTTTAAAAAAAAACTCACTCGGATTTTCATAATAGTACTGTACAATAGCTATCAGATAGAAGTCACGATATAACTAAATATCGTTTAATTTAATAAAATGTATAAAGTTAATTTTATACATTTCAACAAGTCTATCTAAAACAATTCTATCTAGAATTTGGTCCGAACTGATGCGTATGCAGTATTTCAAAATAGATTTGGAGCTTCTAAGTATCTTGAATCGGCTTATAGATTCACAATCGGATTGGACCCTCAATCTCTATATAGTTTATACAAAGCTACTCAAATTGCTTTGTTCAGAATACACTAATTAGATCGATAATTGAGTAATTAATATCATCAACTACATATACGCCTAAATTTGCAATTGGGGTAAAATGACTTAGGCAAATAAAATTTACCATGTACCAGCTACAAACAGTTTATCCCTACAAATCCTCCAAGAAAATCACGAACAAAAATCTATCTTTTAGCCTTAATCTAAAATTTAAATATTAACAGGAAAGTATTTTTGGGAGAGAATAAACCCACAAGTCTTACTTTAAGTCCTTATATATATTTTAAGATCACGCAGGAATGTATAGAGCCGAAATATTATTTTTTACCTATGTGTACGGTAACAAGTTTGCTGAAATAAGTACAATGCCGATAAAACGTTTTAATTTCCCTTTAATAATATTAAAATATTAAAAAATGAAGTCATCACGGTAAAAGTATCAACTTATTTGCAAAAGTCGTTTGTCAATTTTTGGGATTAATGAATGTGTCCTAAATAAAATGTTTGATCCAAATATTTCGGCATACCTACTCTTATAGACGTCGCTCGTCTGCAAAATATTTAATATATTATATTGTCATTCAATGATATGAAATAAAATAATATTAGTATTGATACTTATTGCTTCTCATATGATATGAATGTATAATACTCACATAATAACAAACTCCACAGAAGCATATTTCATAAAATCTTTGCAAAACAAGAAAACAACAATCGCACGGCACAAAATATTAATATTTGTCAATTCTATTTTCACAGCAGTATGAATAATAACTTGATTCATTGTTATCGTATTTCTATTAAAGTATCTTTTCATCATAGTTTATTTGCAAGGTGAAGAATCGCAGTGAAACAATGTACTTACATATGACTAGATATCACGAAATTAACGAAATTGGTATTTTTGTGCAATTTTATTAACAGTGTTCAAAAAGATATTAATCTTGCAGTCCAGCGTTTCATACTCATAATTTAAAAATATTAGTGTTTTGCATAATCGAGTTAAGTTTTGCAGAAACAATTATTAAAACTATTCAACGATGGGCAAGAAATTTTGGCATTTCTAATAATAAACTAAATAAAACTAAACAACTGCGTCGAAATCATGAGTGATATAACACAAAATATAATCTTATTTATGTATGTTTATTAATACTATACGTAAAAGTAATACTGATTATTGCAAGTTATTGCTCATAGCTTGGCCTAAAAGAACATTTAACATTGCAAACGAGCCTCGCTTAAAAAACGATATTCGACTCCGAGATTCGTCAACGTCAGAGTGAAGAATGATGAATTTAATTTAAATCCTAAATGCATATCCTATCTACACGGAACACCAGATGATTTAAGTTAGAAACGATAGTGTATGTCGTGTCAATGTCAAATATGAAAATTCGTCAGGACAATGATCAGATGCAAACTTTCAGGTATACGGAAATAACTTCAAGCACATCAAAAGCAAACGGCATCCTTAAAATACAAATTTATATCTGATATTTCGGCTCACAATGAAATCACCAAGTGTTTAATCTATTGGTACAACGATTCACAGACTAAAAATTACGTCTTAGCAGCTCATATAGAATTTGAATCACATACAATTAGAGGTATCTACAATTAATTACTAACTTTTGCATCTCACCAAAATCCTACACAGTAAAGATTTACACTGGGGAAGTTAACTACAAGGGACATACACAGGCACGAAACGAGTTTGTTTGCTTTTTTTAATTCCTGCACGGGGACGTACAGAGAATGAGAAAAAGTAAACGTATTATGGAAGTCCTGAGGGCTGGCACCTACAAAATCAGCCCCCTTCATTACGCGCTGAATTCAAATCAACAGCAAGGATATCATCCGAGAGTTGATTTTCTAGCATCGCAATCGCACACGATTCACACGTACATACCCATACCGTACATTGAGCCCCAGTCGACGCCCTGGAAACTGGACATGTCGACGTTGGATAAGCTGTAGCCCTGGTAAGGTGCTGCAGCCACGGGCGGCGCCAGAGCCGCTGGACAGGTTGCAGCAGGTGTCGATGCGGGAGCGGCAACGGCGGTTGGAATCGGGTAAGGTGTATACCTGTACCCTGCCAGGGCGGGATACGCGCTGAATAGTTTACCATAAGCCGCATTCTGAACTTGTTGGGCTGCGGCTACTTGTGCTTGCACCTGGGCTTGTGCCACAGCTAAGGGTGCAGCTCCTGCAACTAGTCCATTCGTGGCAGCCATACGCACGCCGAGTCCTCCAAGTACCAACCGTTTATCTAAGTACTGAGCTGCAGCAGTAGCTGCTGCTGGTTGGACAGCTTCTTTGGGCTGTGCCTTTTTGCATTCGACTTTTTTGTTTTCTATTGTATGGAAATGTATTTCACAAACTCTGTCTACTACATCTTCGTTTTCGAAAGTGACAAAGCCAAAGCCACGATGCCGTTTCGTTTGCTGATCCATCAACATAACCGTTTCTTCAACTTTGCCGAACTGATTGAAATAAGCACGCACGTCTTCCGTGGATGTGTTTTGGCTGACTCCACCGACAAATATTTTCTTAGTTTTATTTGATGTTTTGGGTCGATTTTTCGGAGTGGCATGTTTTGGATCTATCTTCTTACCATCTAATGTGTGAATAGGGACTTTGAGAACGTTGTCTACGCTGTTTGGATCAGCAAATGAGATGAAGCCAAAACCACGACTCCTCTGTAATAATAACTTTTGATAAAATTGACTCAAAACTCAAATTATAGCAATAAGATATTTGGTCAATATAATTTATTTTTAATGATATTGTCATTTGTATCATATGAAAGCAAATGTTTTTGCTATATTTTATGTATCTCAAAGATTTGGTATTTACAATGGAATAGTTACTGAATATATTGACAAATTTGTTATATATGAATTTACCTATATTATAAATTATTATAGACATTAAACTGAACATAGTTCTGTGAGATATGTGGTATTTTCTGTATTACAATTTTAAAAAATTCTCTCATCCCAATTATTCAGTCGTCGCATTGACGGATTACCAATCAATCTTCAAAATTGCACGTTTTAGAAAACTATTTCATTTATCCCCCAAAAGAATAGATTCAGACGACGTAACTCACCTGCGTTATAGGATCTTTCATTATCAACACGTCTGTTATCGTTCCAAACATTCCGAAGTATTCCCTGAGCTTCTCTAGCGATGTCTGCCAGCTGAGGCCTCCCACAAACAGTTTGCCTGGGGCTGGTTCGCTGCCCATGCCTTGGGACTCCTTTGGGGTCGATCGACCCGAAGAGCTGGAATGATTCCCGTTCACAGCCATGTTTCGAGATTCAGTCAGGGTGTAGATGAAATTAGTTCACACTTCGAGTGTGATGTCTGCAGAATTTTGGGCGCAAATATCCAGTGAAAGGAGGAATAATTAACACTTGGATGGTGATCAATATTTTTGCTCTTGGGTAGATGAAGCCTGTTGCTGGCTTCCTGTACTATTGATGATTAGTTATCTGTAAAAATAGCTACTATCAATTTGCTGAACTTAACTTGTTCAAAATAAATAAATATGCATGAATTAAATATAGTTTTACATACTACAAAATATATTTCTTTGTTAAAATATTAGTGGCAACAGAACACACTATCAATAAAAATTATGTTCATGCAAATTTTTTAATGTGTTACATAATTAACCATTAAATACTATTTATCATACAATAAATAGTTATTTGCATACAAAATTTAAACGCAAATTGCAAATTACACATGGAGTGTTGCACATGTTCTAAATCAATATATAATTAACTTTGTTTGAGGTTTATTGATTTATTGGCTTATTTAGCAGAATAATATAATCAAGTAAAAGTTTTTAGTAACAAATACACATGATAATTGCACAACCTGTGAATCTATATATAAACAGCTAGATCAAACATCACGTTCTGAAGATGAATTTAATATTTAATTTATATGAATTTATTATTAATTTATAACTCTCAACTTGTTTGAAAATGTACATAATTTCATTATTATTCATATATGAAATTTCAATGCAATACTAATTAAATATAAACCTGGTGCTATATATTAAATATAGCGCCAATTTATATGAATTAGAAACTTTACTACATTCTCTATAGAACATTGCAAAGTAATTTTCTGCAAAAATATGAAAATTCAATTACAATTTCAATCAAATGAAACAAACAAAAATCACTATAGAGCAATCATAATTCATATTGTTTTTGTGGAATATTATTTTTGCATTCACTCAATTTATAGCTTGTGGAAAATTATATTTATTTGAACATGTTTTATTTTAAAATTAGAATTTGTGGTTTGCACCATATGTGTAGTATTCAGTAGAACAAAAATCTCACCGTTAAAAAAACTAGCAACAATAATTAATATAGTTTTTGTGTAATATTAGTCGCACTTTCACTCACTTTGATTCAGATGCAAAATCATATTTATTTAAGCAAGTTTTTTATTTTAAATAAAATATTGTAATAATGAACAGCAAAAGGTATGACAAGTACTGCTTGTGTAACTACTTTGAAATATTCACTTTAACATCCACATAAAAAGATCTAATTTTCAAAGCAAACAGGCATTTTTCAATAATTGCTCTTAATTTAGACACAAATAAGCAGCAACGATTCTGTTACACCATACATAATAATACATCATGATATATTTCGGAATTCGTTAAAAGCTATTCGACAGTTGAAATCGAGATTTTGAAATAAAATTCCACCATGATAATTTCAGTTGTATAATGCGTTACAAGGTTTTGAGAAATTCAATAATGCTAATGATATTAAATTTATATGAAAATGTTAATTGAGGACCAAAAATCCGTATTTATAGCATAAATACTCATTAAAATAGCTACACATTTTTTTGTTCATTGTCTTAGGGTATGTATTAACTTTTGCAAAATTTGTAAAGTAATTTTTCTCATAAGCATTTATCGAATAGCAGATGATCTTTTATCTATCATAAGCATTCCAAATACCACATCCTAATACTCGTATATATTTCAGTCCCAGTAACATTACATTGTCTTCTTACTGATTAATAACGAACCTATCATTCCTCGCCTTTAGTGTAGTTATATGTATTTTCATTGAAATGTCGTCTCTGACTAATGAGACTAATGGCTCTCGAATATAGGAACACAAATACAATAACAGTTTATGCTAACTGCAATCCCGTGAGTTCTCTTTGTATTATCAATTATTCTCACGTAGAACGTAAATTAAACATAATTACACCATCCGATCCATCCAACCGTCCATCCATCGCATTCTGGAAATAGACACATCCAAGGCGATGGCACTTGGTTGGTAAAGGTAATTATGATTGAGAGGAAGGGATAGAGAAAAATCGTTATTTGCATTATTAGTTATTTACTTCGATGTACCTTGAACTCGAAGAATGGACGATCGAACGCCTAAAATCTATATATTTAAATAAAGTTGTTTTCGGAGTTTTTGTCATGGAAAACTACGCAACTGTGTTTCTTATTTTTGAACAGCAATCAGAACCTGAGTGTTCTATGCTGTTGAGATACAAATTAATAAATAATAATACTAGTTCGTGCAAATATTGTGTTTACATATTGAACCCTGACCCAAAATCCACGTTGGCCTGCCTTATGATCAATTTGTGATAACTCTAAACAAAACTAAACCATTCCTCAGGAACTACTATAGATACTTTTAGCCAGAAGATATACATTTAGCAATAAATTTCAAATCGGACATAATAATTTATTATATCTGCATTATCACTTAAACAGATACAACGAAATACTTTTTCTCTGTTCCCATGTTAGCGCAACAAAGAAACATTTAACATGGCATCATTCCAAAGACTCCACTCGATCAATAAATACGTTATGTATATTTCTGAAATAGAGGAGTTCAGAAATATTATAAAATTAGGACGAGATAATTCGAGAGGTTGTGAATTATTGAACATTCAGAATAAATCAGGAAATGAAAATATATGCTTATAATATCCACCAAGGGCTGACCAAATAGGCTGGTCCTTAGAACTATGAGATTTAAATCAGAGGTCACACCTTCGATTGGCCTTATGTCAAGAAGCAGTGATATCCGTTTTCACTTGGCAATATAGATAGCAATATGTTTCAAAGTTAAAATAGCCCTTACCCTGCACCAATATTCCAATCACGAACCTTAATTTACTTAATTTTTGTTAACAAGAATATACGCAAATATTACATTCCAATTTCCAATATCGATTCATCAAGAAATATTAACGTTTGCTGACATGACCCAATATCATATATGAATATATGGAGCACAAATAAATTAGGCAGATACAACATATTTACATATATGGTAAATATATGGATATATGTGATATACGTTTCCGTCGAGAGTAGTTCTGTTAGAATAATATTGATCATATGTAGGTACATGAATAATGCATTATTTGACAAAGCAAAATAATATAGTATTAAATTCTATTTTAAGATTGGATTAATATGATTCAAATTATTCTGTCACAGGTGTGTAGTAGATGACTAAGGTAAAATTGATATTAGAATAGTATGTAATAAATGGACATTATGAATAGTAATAGTAATAAATGGACAACTCAATTATTCATTTAGAAGATAGGTAAAATTAGTTGTTAGACTTTTTTGATACTACTTTTAGAAGACGATAATATATATAGATATAGGTATAACTTAGATAAGAAAATTGAAATTATTCAGTTTTTTCTCAGAGAGTTTAATACTTGTTCTCTTATCTGGATTAATTTCATGAGCTTTGAGACATACAGTACATTTAGCCCTCAGCCTTATAGTTATCATTTTCAAATATAAAGTATGAAAGTCAAAGTTTTAAGAATAATACTAGCAAAAAATAAAAAAATATCAAGCATGCTTAGTTAAGATGCACATACATTTTGTTTCCTTTTTATGATTGATGAATGCTCATTTCTCGTATATTATTTTTGGATTACATTAGTACTTTTGAGAGTGCATATGTTCAAATGCATTCTTTGTGCTTCAATATGATGATAAAATACTTCAACATCAAAAGCATCAATGCTTTTATAATTTATGGTGGGCTCGCAGCCTGGTTTAATACTTTAAAATATTCATAATAAAATACTCAGCCCGAAAAAAACTCAGAATTATTCTATTTTATTAATTTGTAAGATAAGTTAGCACAAGTTGCTTATTATTTTAACAAATGCTAATAAGTATAATATTATGAAAATAAGTTTTATTTTAATAAGTTTCAAGATGCCACAACTTTCACCTTATTCTTCCGGTTTCGAAATAAGTAAAAAAGTTGGTAGAGTTAATATAAAGTTTATTACAGAACATTCATCATAGTTACATTAACTTCTTGCAAAATTTTCTATAAAGATTATACCAGGTCGTGCGAAAAGTAATTTCCTTTTTCTGACAGAAAAATGAAAATTCACTTTTAAGAGGCAATGTCACTTATAAACGCATTATTATAAGGTGTGAGAGCTGGTATAGCAAGGAGATTGAGTTTGAAAAAGGATAATTTATTCTGGAAAATTATCACAGGTTTTGAATTTTTAAATATGAATCGTAAAACATCATTGTCTTCATATTTTACATTTTTTAAACGTGAAATATGAAGCAGGAGCGGAATTGACGCAATCTCATTTAACCAATAGTAATTTCAAAGGTGGTCAAAGAAGACAATTTATTATATAAGGACCTATATTTCTTGAAAAAATTAAACAATATATAAAGATTGAAATGAATGTACAGTACCAGATTTATTTTACAAATAATACTGTATTTTTAGGTCGACCTAAAAGAAGGTAAAACACATTGTTCAAGTTTGAGTCAGGAAAGTTTAAGGGTGAGAGTTTTTCCGTTGCAATATTTTATCGCACAAATCGTTTGGAACAGTAAACATATTTTTGATTTATTTTTCTAATAAATATAAATATTTTTCCAAAAATATACTATATTTAGAAAAATATTTTGATGCAAAATTATGATGCATATGTCTCTACTCTTAGCCTTATACAGCCATTGCAACGATTTTGAAGTTTTTCTTTCCGAATGTCCCAATATATATATACTATTTTATCTGTTACACATTCCATTACTATTTCTTAAGAAGACATGAAATACCAACAAGATACAACATGTAACTCTTCGAATTTAATCAGCTAATGATGGCAAACTGACCTTTATCTCTCTATCCAAATATTTCGGTAACCCTAACTATATTGTCGAGTTAAAGTGCCTAAACTCGATGATGTGGAGGTTTGCAGTTTTGCATACACCTACTAATAATTGCACCAAACTTTGCTAATGTAATTGCTCTTCAAGTTTTGTAGGAGAAACTCGAGCTCAAAGCAAATACTATGGAGTCTGACCTAATAGTGCGGTCATCTCTTGAAGAGGAAAGGATACCATCAGAATTATAATAAATAAATTCTAAATTATAACTCATTATTTATATTCACATACTAT